TAAACAATATTCTTACTTAGACACTGATTGTTCATAATGCAGGTAGATTTATTGGTACAGTTGCAGGTTTTTGTTGCTGTTTTTTTATGATTGTATAAAATATTCTGATTATGTGAATTGATGACTGACTTAACGTTTGGCATACATGAGTAGCTAATTATAATGGTGTTTCTGTTAAAAACCTTGTGTAATTAATGACCAACAGGAAAACTGGCATCAATTATTTTTAAAAAAAGATTACCTATCTTTGTTGCGACATTTTTACTATATGGGGGATTATACCAAATAATTTTCAATGTGAATTTTGTTTTGAATGGGTTTTATTCCTAACTGATATTTGAGCTAGGAAGAGAAACACGATTTTAACAATAAATCCTGCAAGGGAAAAACAGCATTTTCTTTGTTTGAAGATGCAAGTAGAGAATCTTAGTTCAACTGTTCGTGGTAGACTTTTTAATATGCACGGAGGGTGGTTTTATTTTATAGTTTATTCATTTATTTTTATTATTTTATAGTTCCAAAGTTGTTAACTTTCTATATTATTGTGCACTCTTAACCGAAATAGAGTTTTGTATTATTATTATTGTAATACAAAATTAAACATCAAAATTAAACACACACACACACTTATATATATATATATATATATATATATATATATATATATATATATATATATATATATATATATATATATATATATATATATATATAAACATTCAACAAAACAAAGGAAAACCAAATGGTAGAAATAAATAATTTCATGACATTTTTATTATTGAAAAAAAAACTTTTAATAATTTTTGTGTATATATATATATATATATATATATATATATATATATATATATATATATATATATATATATATATAATATATATATATATATATATATATATATATATATATATATTGCAGTTTAAGTTTTATAGTTCAAAACTTGTGTAGCTTGGACAATTTTTTATAAAAACATTTTTTTAATGAAAATAGCATTAAAGCCAAAGAAAAAGAAACAGTTTAAAGCAAATATTTCTAGGTTTTATATATTTATACTCATAAATAGTTTTTGAAAAACTTAAATTGTTTACTAAGTTGAATATAAAACTTTTTAAATTGAAATTTTCAATATAAGAGAAATAAAGAGTAATCAGAAAAATACAACAAAAAATCTAATATTTTTTGAGGAAAAAAAAAAAAAAAAACTAAATATAGAAAAAAACATTAGGTTTACATTAAGTTTACATCAAGTTAATTTATTTGAGTTTAGTTTTGTTCACTTTTGGTTATGTGAATGAATGCAAAAATTTAAAAAAAAGTTACTAAATAATGCAAAATTACTAATAAATCTTTGCCAGTATTTAAAACGGTTTCTTTAAAAAAGAAAACATGTACAACTCTGCAATCATTATAAACTGTCAAATCAGAAATGTTCTGTAAACTCTTTTAACTAGTAAAGAAAAAAAAAATGTAACAAAACGAAGACCACTGAAAAAGAGAGATAAAAAATTTATCCTCTATTTAATAAATTCAAATAAACTCATCTCTAATTATCTTTAATACATTACCTCTAATTTCTCCAGTGGAACACTTTTGAACATAACCAGACAATATTTTGTAAAATTTCTATTCTTAAACAATCGTCTGGATTGTTTAAGAATAGAAATTTTAATATTTTGTAAATACAATATTTTGTAAAATTTCTCTATTATCTAATTTCTCAAGCTATAAAAAACAGTCATGGATTTCATTTCTTTCTGCATTAAAATTTAGTTGTAGCAAGAGTTTAACAAATACTTTTTAATAACTGATTTAATATTTTAAAATACCATCTGATCCTTGACGTAATTTTCCAAAGCATTTTTCAGTAGGATCAATAGAAAACCAACTTAAAATAAGATATTTTTGTATGATAGAATAACTTTAGAGAAATCAATCAGGCTGCAACAAGTATATGAAAGTGCAGTGATTGTGTCTTTTTGTAAGGCGACAAATCATTTACCAGATGTTGTTTCATGTTTTCTACTATTGTAGCAATGTAGCAATAATTTTAAAATATCAATTAAAGACAACTAAATTGCGTGACTCGTATCATGTGTTACTACCTAGCATTTGCGTCCACACATTTAACATTTACTCTTTTCCTAAATTCCATTACCAACTCCATAAAAAATAAAGATATCCTTAACACTTTTTTGATCTTTATTAGAGGATATTTTTATAGCAGTGCCCTATGATAAGACTGTAAGGACTTCTTAAGGCACCTAAAATAAACTAAAAAAAAACAAAAATTTTTTATTTCCATCAGCAATTACTTTAACATTACCTATACAATTTTCTATGGTGTCTATGGTAACCATCAGACTTCTATGGTGTCTAACCATCAGATTTCCAACTAGAACTTGCATTGTTCTAGTTGGAAATCTGATGTCAGATTATTAACTGGTAAACATTTTATCAAAAATTCAGGTTCATGGTAAAGACTTCACATCATAAAAATGT